TGGGCACGTAGAGGAGGGGTTTCGGCGACGGTGATCTATGGGGGGTGTCCTTGGGGAGCACCGTGTGAGGGAGTGGTGCTTGGCGCCCCTAAGGCTGAGGGGTGACTGTGAGGGGTGGGCTGGCCCTAGGAGGGCCTGTGGGGCAGGGGCGCATGGATGAGGGGTCTGCAGTGTGGGGTGTCGCTTCCAGGTGGGGAAGGTGCTAGCAGAGGAGGGTGCCTGGGAGGTGCCTATGCGGGATGGGGTAGGAGGACGCCGGAGTGAGGGCCTGTATGTGGGGAGAGGTCAGTACCGGGTGAGGGGAGGTGTGCAGTGGCACTGTGCTTTTTTAGGGTGGAAGGAAGGTTTCCTCTGAGGGATACCCCCACAATGTGGCCTGTGTGAGGGGAGCTGAGCCGAGAGGGAGGAGCGGCGTTGTCCATGATGAAGGGGTTTCTATGAAAGGGGATATGTAGGGATTGGAGAAGGGAGGGGTGCCTGAGAGATTAATGTGGAGAGTATTTTGGGGTGATGGCTGGCAGGAACGGAGTTAAAATTTGGAAGTGCAAGCGAGAGGAGTATTAATAGAGGAAAAACATGCTTGGGGCATAAGAGAGAAAATGAAGTTGATGAAAGGGACTGTGAAGGTTTTACGGGGTGAAAACTGTAATGTGGATAGTGTCAAGGATTAAATAGAAAAACTGGAATACATGGATGGGTATCTGGTCCTGGCTGAGTCCACCAGTACTGGAAGCTGCCTTGACTGCATGTGCTCATTGCCTGAGTGACTGGTAGGGTCAGAGAAGAACTATTTTGCATCTTTTTCACTGTTAGAAAGTAAATTAAACTCTTCTGCAATGATAGCTGTATCAAAGTTTTTTTGTACATCGAAGCTTTGCTAGGGAGGAAGCTTTGGAACCAATCTAGCAAAGTATTAATTACTCGGAATTTGCTCACTAGTGATTAACATTGTTTCTGAACAAGTACAAGTACAAATTCTCCCCTTTCCTAATTATTGATTAGTTTTGAATGTTGGAGCTCAGCTACTGTGATAAACTCTCCTCTTATAGATTTTACCTTTAAGTATTTGCTATTGTATTTCAGAAAAAAAAGAAGTGTTTTGAAGACTTTTGCTAACAGTACTTTGAAAAGACACTGACAATATTTGGCCCCAAGCCCACTATGGGAAATGTGTGCCCAACAGCAGATCCCTACTGATTTAATTGTGTCTGTGCTCAAAGCTGTGTCTGAATTCTGAGTAAGAGAAATTGTAACTGCTGTATATAAGCACGTGTTAGAATTTAAATCTCCTATTCATCATCAACATTGTTGTTTGCTATCCTCTTTGCCCCTTTGTGTTGCCCAAAATTTGTTGGAAGCATTCTCTGTTGCAGTCAGCAGCTTTACCTGATTTGCAGCTCTTACCACCTAATGTTTTTTTGAGCTCTCCTTTGTTGTTGTTGCGTAAAAATTTAGTTGCTATTACGAAACAGATTTTTGTGCTTGAGACATTGCTCAATTTTCACTTTGGGATTTACTTCATTAGGCGTATCGCATGTTACTTAGAAGTATATGCTCCACTTCATATGTTTTCACAAACTCCTTCATACGTGAGTGATTTTAAATGGTAATTGTATTTTATTTGTAAAGAAAAACACATAACAGTATCTACAAATTTATGTGAATTTAAGTTTTTTGCCCAACATACTCACTGTAGGGCTGTTTCTTCGTGAGTCTACGCTATTAACCATCACTTGTGTAAGTTAGTGGCCAGTTCCTGTTTCAGTGTGAAGTTAAGAGACTTGCGTAATGGTGATGGAGGTCGGGGGCTTATTTTATTCTCTGCATTCTTTGTTTTTCCTATTTTATGAGTCAGTAAGCATTGTGATTCTAATTCTAATTTCCCTCCTCTCTAGCGATATGTGATAAATATAAACTATATAAACTACTTGTATGATTTTCTTCTTAATATTAATGGATATAATTTTATAGGTTAGTGGTAACTTACATGTACATTGGGCAAAGGGAAAAAAAAATTGAGGCATCTTTATAGCTTTACTCACCCTGGAAAATTTTAGATTTGCTGTTGATGGAGGGTGACAGTGAGGAACTATGGAATTTAATTTGTGCTAATTCTTGTTCATGTGTGGGGTTTTTGGGGGGGTTGTTTTTTGTTTGATTTTGTTAAACACTTTCAATTTTGCTTTGTAGAACCAAGTAAGTTTTCACAAACACTGAACGGAATTCCTTCTTCAAACACAGTCAGCAGTGGAATGGACCCCTTCCATGCTTGTAGTATTCTTCAACAGCTTAAAACCATGTATGATGAAGGACAACTGACAGATATTGTAGTGGAAGTGGATCACGGGAAAACATTCTCCTGTCATAGGAATGTTCTTGCTGCAATCAGTCCTTATTTCAGGTACAATAGTCCATTGTTCTAGTGGTGATCAAAAGCAGAATTATAACTTAATTTCATTAAATGAAAACTAGAAAAAAATCACACTTATACTAATATTCCATGTAACTATTCATAATATAGTGCGTCTACTAAGTAAAGGTTATTGTTCTTCTAGTGTCAATGAATTATCAGTGTCCGTTTATTAAAGGAGAGTTTCATTGGAGAAAATGTGACATGATTTAAGAATAAACAAACAAAAATGCTTCCAGTATTGAGGGTGTCTTGGATACAGTACCAGTGTAGTTAAACTACTTGATTACTTTTAAAGTTCTATATTCTAGCACACTAGAATATGCATATAAAATAACATGTCGAAAGTTGAGTGCAAAGACTTGGCTATGTCAAGAGCTTTGCTTGTAAATTGAGTGCATTTTAATATGGGGTTAGTGAGATAATTAAGCAAGAGATTCCACCCTGCCACTTTTGTTTCAGTAAGTCTAGAACTGATCTTAAATTTAGGCACCCAAACAGGACAGTGTAACATCAGCGATAAATGTATTTGTTCTGATATAAGGTCAAACACATCGGGATTAGCTGTACAGTATAATTTCATTTCTTATACCTGTAGTTAGAAAGTAATTACAAATAAACTGCTAAATATTTTTCTTTTGTAGATCTATGTTCACTAGCGGCCTTACAGAGAGTACCCAGAAAGAAGTTCGTATAGTTGGTGTTGAAGCAGAGTCAATGCATTTAGTGTTGAACTATGCATATACCTCCAGAGTAATGCTGACAGAGGCCAACGTTCAAGCTTTGTTCACTGCAGCTAGTATCTTCCAGATCCCTTCCATACAAGACCAGTGTGCTAAATATATGATCAGTCATTTGGACCCACAGAACTCCATTGGGGTGTTTATCTTTGCTGATCACTATGGTCATCAGGAACTCAAAGACAGATCACAAGACTACATTCGTAAAAAGTTTCTGAGTGTCACCAAAGAGCAAGAATTTCTTCAGTTGAGAAAAGACCAACTGATAAGTATACTCGACAGTGATGATTTAAATGTAGACAAAGAAGAACATGTTTATGACAGCATTATAAGGTGGTTTGAGCATGAACAAAGTAAGAGAGAAGTGCACCTTCCAGAAATATTTGCCAAATGCATCCGTATGCCTCTGTTGGAAGAGACATTTTTAGAGAAAATCCCTCCCATGTTTGCACAAGCTATGGCCAAAAGCTGTGTACAAAAGGGACAACATAGTGCCAATGGCTATACACAACGGCTTGGAATGACCGCATCTGAAATGATCATATGCTTTGATGCTGCCCACAAACACTCAGGAAAGAAGCAAACAGTGCCTTGTTTAGATTCGGTCACAGGGAGAGTGTTTAAACTATGCAAGCCACCAAATGACTTGAGGGAGGTTGGAATTCTTGTGTCTCCTGATAATGATATTTATATTGCGGGTGGTTACAGACCAAGCAGCAGCGAGGTCTCCATTGACCACAGAGCAGAGAGTGATTTTTGGATGTATGATCACTCTGGCAATAGGTGGATTCCGAAAGCTCCTTTGTTGCGAGCCAGAATAGGCTGCAAATTGGTTCATTGCTGTGGTAAACTGTATGCAATAGGTGGTCGTGTTTATGAAGGAGACGGGCGGAACTCACTCAAGTCTGTGGAGTGTTATGACAGCCGAGAGAACTGTTGGACAGCTGTCTGTCCAATGCCGGTAGCAATGGAGTTTCATAGTGCTGTGGAATATAAGGATAACATCTATGTTTTACAGGGTAAGGTCGTTTGACTGACTATATGGTGTTTTATTGGAAGTGGGGGTTGTTCAGTCCATCTGCACTCTCCGAAGCACCTTAGAAAACCCAAGCTTCCTGGACATCTAAAGAGTGCCCTGGGACAATGGGGTGGGAGGAAAGCTAGGGAGAGCAGTGGGCAAGGACGAGTGAGGTTGCTGCTTGAGTCCTCATACCCTGGGAATGTGTCACAAAGTTGTAGTATTGAGTTATTTGCATAAATGTCAATGTTGGTGGTGTTCTAAGTGTAGAGTGTAGAATTAAATTCTACTGTGAAAATTATTTATTAAATCTTCTTTATTTGGCTGAAATGCACTGATGTTGAAGAAAAGATACTGTCCTATGAAAAAGCACTTTCATTTTATTTAGCTAAACCTGTGAAAATTCCTGGTGTCTGTACTGTTGGTGACTTTTACAAAAATCTGTAGGCCTTTGTTTCCTGCCCTACCCTGCTTTTTGAAATTGTCCTGGTAACTAAGAAAGATGATTATCTCTTCCTAGTTTGTTTCTTTGGAGAGTAATTATAGTACTACCTTTACATCCTTTCTTCTGGTAAAGGATCAGACTTACTGGTGTATTAGATACTGATTCTTAAATGAATAAAAAGGATCATTATGGGAATGGATCAAATAATTTATTCTTCCCTTTATTTATGGAGATCTTATATGAAATATGTATTTGTATGTATGCATGAGCCATATAGCCGTCTGCACTTAAAAGTGCTGAAACTGATCTATGAGGCTGTAGTAGGAGTCTTGACAAGTGGAAAGGAAGGAGGAGGGGGTGTCTTGGTTATGTTTTGCCAAGGGCCATCTCTGTAAATGCCTGCAGAAACTGGGGTCTTAGATCTGTACGAGCTCCCTCTTTGGGTCACTCTCCATACAAAGCTGGACCCCAGGAGAGAAACAGGGTAGAGAATTCTGTAAGGTCATTGTTGTTACTGGAATTTTTTTTTACTCAGTAAGGTTGGTGGGCTTCCTCATGGTTTGCAGAGAGTTTTCTTCTTCTTTCATTGTTTCTGTATCAGGTTTGACTCTTGGTTGTGGCTTTAAATAATTCTGTTACACTAGCAGGTTCTCTCAATCTGTCGCTTCTGTGGGGTCAGACATCTTCTTCAGATGGTTAAAAAGGAATGCTTAAGAATGTTTAACTCGGTAGAATATTTGTTCATCCTTTAAATGTTTCTTAGAACTGCAAAAAAACGGATATGATTATAACTTGTAGAATAAGAGTGCATCTTGTTTGCAAATTTTAGCTGCACTAATTATGTGCTTCAGTGGTTTAAATGACAGCTCAATGGTGGCATAAATAAACAAGCTAAATACTTCACTGTGCTAACCAGATTTGTGTCATGGGAAATAGGCAACTTTTCTATTTGAGTGGGGTAGATAAAACTTTGATTGAGTTGCACTGAAGTAGTATAAAAAAGTTAACTTTCCATAGTTTTTCTAGAGAAGGCTCTGAAGTTTGAAGCAGTCAGTAAGAATTGAGAGTGTTAAAATGCCAACGGAACGCAAGCATCAGTCATAGGAGATTACACTGCGGAACAAAAATTAATAATAAAAAATGTATTATCTGTAAGACTTAATCTCTTAAGCTATGTTCCACCCATTTTACTCTATTATTTCTGAATTCTTTGTTATATTTGAGGTGCTCGGTTAACACGGCAGCTTGGTTAAAATTCTGAAATCATACACAATTTCACATGGCTATTTTAAATTATGCTAATATTTGGCAAGTGTTAAGCCTTTCTTCCCCCAGGCTTTACAAAAGACAAAGTGGTCTTTATCCATGTTCTTTTCATGAAGTTTGCAGAGCAATAATTTTCAGTCATCTGAACTTCTGTTATCTACAGTCTGTAGATGCTACTCTGTGCACTCAACAGAAGAGGTGTTTTATAATCTAATTGCAAAACTAATGATGAATCAGTAGCTTCATGCAAGTATTCACCAGGCATCCTGTTAAGCAAATCAACGTAAATGTGTAACCCAGCCACCTGATACAAGTAGCTTCAAAATCTGTCTGTAGTACAAGACACAATTGTTTGTTCAGATTTAATAACTTTCAAGCACTGAATTCTGAGACTCCACAGTCTGTAGATGACATGTTGTGAAGATGTTAAAGAACTAAACAAATACTTTAGATGTTTCAAGACTGGAATCTTGAAAGGTTTTGTCCCAAGTTATTAAGCACGATTTGGAAGTAGTAAAGGATAGCTAGGAAATATGTAAAACATTGCATTTCCGATACGCTTCGAATTCCCTCTTCAGCTGGAATAGAACCTCAAAGTGGTTTTTACTCATGCTATTAATATTTTTTTGTAATGCACTTGGAAGAAAGCAGGCGATGGTGCAAGGTTTTTTGTTATGGGATCAAGGCTTTTAAAAACTGGTAGACTGTTTCTGTCTGTGGAGGAACATACGTGAAAGTTTAGTAGCTGCAGAATTGCTCTTCTGGAAATAAAGTTATAAAAGTTATGTTTTATTTTTCCTCTCTCTTTTCAGGGGAATTTTTTCTCTGCTATGATCCTCAGAAGGATTACTGGGGATTTTTGACCCCAATGACTGTGCCTAGAATCCAAGGCTTGGCAACTGTATACAATGACTCCATCTACTACATAGCTGGAACCTGTGGAAACCATCAACGTATGTTTACCGTAGAGGCCTATGACATTGAACAAAATAAGTGGACTCGAAAAAAAGACTTTCCATGTGATCAGTCCATTAATCCATATATAAAACTCGTACTCCTCAAAAATAAACTCCATCTGTTTGTCAGAGCCACTCAAGTCACTGTTGAAGAACATGTTTTCAGAACCAGCAGGAAGAATTCACTCTACCAGTATGATGAGGTTACTGACCAGTGGCAAAAAGTATACGAGACTCCAGATAGGCTCTGGGATTTAGGCCGGCATTTTGAATGTGTTGTTGCTAAATTGTATCCGCAGTGTCTTCAGAAAGTTATTTAATTTTTTTTTTCCAGTAATGGGCCTTAGTGATTTCAGTGGTAATCTGATGCTAGAGAAAACATGTCTTAAAAGAAAACAAAGAAATTCTGTCAGTATTTATTGTAAGCTGAAACAGGCAGTTTTTGTATATGGGGATGGGTGCTCTTTAAAGGTTGCAGTCTGGGGAGGGAATTACTGGTTCAGTTTCATATTTACTGATATTTTCCTGGGAATGAGAAGGAGGTTACAAAGTGCAATTATCAGCATTTTTTTTCTGGTAAACACTTAATCATGTCATACTAGAGGGGTGTTTTTGTGGTAAGAGCAAATTAAGTGGAAGAGCCAGGATAACTATGCACTACAGTGAAAGAAAATCTAGCATTAATAGCTGAGGATGTCTAAGATGTTTTGAAGTGACTTTTTGGGTTTTTTCTTTTTTTTTTAAATACGGGTAAAATTTGAGGCAATATCACTAAGTTTTGTGGGTTTTTTTTTATTTTAGATTGAAAGTACATAGAGGAGTGCTAGATCCTGATTCATAATGATCTTTTTGTACTGTTTTTGAAGTCTGCTAAGATGTTTGTGATGTTGTTTGTGCACTACAGTTTGGGAGAAAAGCTCAAGTCAGAATGGGAACATGGAGTACCTTTGCCCCAGATGGATGCCTGTTCAGATTATTGTACCACTTCCTGTCTGTGGATTTTTGATAAAATTGAGCTTAATGATGGGGAGGGGGAACATCCCAACACCTAATTTCTGCCACTTAGATGTAGTGCTGTAAGAACATTTTTTTTTTAAACACTGCTTAAAACCTTTTTTTTTTTCATCCCATAAAGGGCTTTAACCCAAAAGTTGATGGTGCTAGTACATTTTTAATACTTGTTTGTCTGAAATGGGCTAGCCTTATGCTACTGTTTAAGACAGCCTGTTATTTTTCACTGAGTGTGTATCTGTCTTCAGGGCCTGTCCTGTCATGATATTGTCTTTTTTTTAACATAACATTTTTACTGCAGCGGTATTCTTGCACAGAATGGTGACAGGATATGGCCTTAATATTGATTTTTTTATTTTCTTTTTGTGTGGAGTGTTCATTCTGTCTCCATTAAAGTACAGTGCTATGTGCAGAGTTGGCATGTGCTCCAGTAATTTGAAAAAGTGTGGCTTAACTTTACAAGTTACTTTTCTCCCTGCAATGAAGCCCTCAAATACTTTCTATTTCATTCTGATCTATAATGTGAAAATTTGCACTACTGAGCTGTCTTCATTATCCTTCGTATTAAAGAAAAATTGATAATAAGTGTCCATGGCTTAAATAATCTTAGATGCAAATATAAAATAGGGATCCAATATATTGCAACACTTTTCTCTACATATTTAACATTCAGCTTATTTTTAAGAAGTAAGTAAGTTCAAAGTTCAGCCTCTACTTCAGTAGTGAAAACTGGATTTAAAAGGGAAAAGATTAATCCTAAAACTTGTATCAGCTATAATTGGCCAGGTTTAATTTGTTACAGCTCTGATTTTTGCAGAGCTGCGAGTATGTTATCTTACTCTTCCCTATTTTCTCAAACTGACCTAAGCAAACCAGTTAACATGAAATGGCAGAGGCCATCACTGGCTGCAAGTGCTTACCATTATCTGGCTTAACAGCTGATATTTCAGTAAGCCAAATATTTAGCTCATTGTTTATCCCCCTGGCATGGCTGAGCATTTGGATAATGTTCGTTTACTATGTGGTCTTACTGTTCCCAAATGGAATCTTTCTAATACATGAAAATACTTGCCTGGTTCTGTTTCTTAATTCTTGCACAAAATGTTTAAAAGGCAAAATCAAACAAAAAAACTGTGAAATGAAAAGGAAAAAAAAAATGCCTCTTTGCATTACATACCTCATCTTCCAGAGATTCACCAAACAGCTTCTTTCAAATGCGAGCGCCTGAATTTTTTTTTTCCTGAAGTGAAGTTGACAATTCTTGCTAAGACTGCATTTTCCAGTAGTGTTGAGGAGTGTGGTTTCTTTGTTTAGTTTTCTTCAGGATGCTGTTTTATATATATCCATAGCCAAGAATAAGAGTGGTTTTTTTTTTTAAGTACAACTAATTTCATTTTTTTTAAATTATACTTAGTCCTTGGCTAGCTCTCTTTGCGCTGTTGTAGGCCTCTAGCTGCAAGCTTTCTGAAGCACCCTCCCTAACAGTGTTGCATTTGTGTGCAAAACCATTTTTCTTGCAAAGTGTTATGTAACTTTTCTTGTTTTTTGTTTTTTGTTTTTTTTTTTGTTTAGTTTTGTTTTTTTAGCTTGGTTGACTATTTACAAGACTTCTTGCTGCTTTTTGACAATCTCCTATATTTATTTCGTAGAACAAATTTCAATATGTTACTTGAAACTATGAAATAGAATTGAGTTAGCAATTGACTGGTCTTGTGATGTATAGAAGTACAATATGCTGTGGTTAATTCTGCAGTAGGTTTGTTAATTTTGTTTATCTGCACTAAAGTACGAAGATCTCCATTCTGTTTAACCATTCAAACTGAGGGTGTGATCCAAGTCTGTAATGTGTTTAAAAGCTAAATCCTGGAACTTGCTGTGGGAGTAAAATATACTAAATCTTGCATGAGGAGTTTGTTGAGACAGTAATGTAGCTGTGAAATTTTGCCAATTCTTAAATGCTTCTATGTTTTGCTGAAAGTCAGATTCTGATAAAGTTTTGCTTTAGAGTCAGGCTTAAGTAAACTTGCACAGCACAAAAAAAAAAAATTGCACCAAAGGTACTGGTAATATTTAAACAGTAATCTGTATGTTTTCCCCATTTGGTATCTTTTCTGCATTCATTTATTTCCTTTTATTAAATGAATTTCTAGCATTGTAAGGACTTATGTGAGTGTAAATCTCTTTTTCCAAAATTATTAGTTACTTTAGAAGCAAACATTTTGTAATTTCCACTTGATTCCATCAGTAAAATTTAGAATAACTAAAAGCAGTTTTGGTGCACCAGACATGCAGTGTGTGTATGTTCTTCAGGAAATCGAAGAGCTCCCTGTTCGTAAGGCTGTTTAGAAATGGCATCCAACATTCAGTGCTCAGGTATGTTAGTAAGAAGTACTGTAGTCCTATGAGGGCAAATGTGTGGATTTTTAAACATTTTGCCATAATTGCACAATTTTGCATTTTTACTTAATGTCATGTTATGTTTCTTAAAATAAACCTATTGTTGAAATACAGTGGAGTTCAGCTGGTTTTGTGATAAATCTCTTGCGTTTTAGTAGAGCAAATGTCTGAAAATTAACCCGATAACTTTTTGATGCTTGTTCAGTTCTATTTCTGCACTTGTGTGTCTCAGCTGTGTGTAGTGGCACATGTGTTTTTTAAGGCAGCACTATGCTGTTGCTTGAGGTGGAAGATGCTTTGTTCTGCTTTTTTGTCTCAGTCCTCGTGGCTATTCAGATCTAACTTCTCATTTGCTTTTACACAGGGCCATCATCTTGCCCCTTCCCTTCCTTGCCGCCTTTGACTGGAGCTGA